GAATGGGAAAAAATCTTCACCAGTGACACATCTGACAGAGGTTTAACATCCAGAATATATAAAGAACGCAAAAAACAAAGAAGCGAGAAACCAAATGACCCAATTTAAAAGATGGGCTAAAGATCTAAACAGAAAGTTCTCAAAGGAAGAAATAAAGATGGCTAAGAAACAGCTCAAAAAATGTTCAACACCGTTAGTAATTAGGGAAATGCAAATTAAAATCATCCTAAGGTATCACCTTTCCCCAATCAGACAGGCTAAGATCAAGAGAACAAATGATGCCATTTGGAGAAAGGGGAACTCTCATTTAAAACCACCCTAAGGTATCACCTCACCCCAATCAAACTGGCTAGGATCAAATGATACCAAATGCTGGCAAGGATATGGAGAAAGGGGAGCACTCATTCACTGCTGGTGGGATTGCAAACTTGTGCAGCCTCTTTGGAGAACAGTTTTGAGAACTCTTAAAAGACTGAAAATGAACCATATGACCTGGTTATACCACTCCTTGGCATATACCCAAAGACTCATCCTATTGTAGAGACACTTGTACAACCATGTTTGTTGCTGCTATTTTCACAATAGCTAAGAGATGGAAGCAACCTAAGTGTTCCTCAACTGGCGAGTGGTTAACAAAAATTTGGTATATTTACACAATGGAGTTCTATTTAGCAGTAAAGAAAGATGTAATAATGAAATTTGCTGGTAAATGGATGGATCTAGAAACTGTTATACTAAGTGAAGTAACACAGACTCAGAAAAACAAACAATGTATGCTCTCCCTCATATGTGGTTACTAGCACCAAATTCTTTTAAATTCCAGGTCCTTTTAATAAGATGCTATACAGCAGTCCCTTTTGCATGAAATAACTACCATCATCATGACTTCGGCTGAGCCCGATCACTAAACATAGTCACAACTGGACTAGCTGACGGTTGAGCTCATTCATTAAAGGAGTGCCAAGCAGGGTCACTGGACCCTCACCTGAGTATCTAGCCACTCCTCCCAGCCAATTAGTTCAGCCTTGGAAGACAAAAGAAAAATGAGGAAGACCCCAATAGAGGGATGCTTTTGGAAGCCCTTGCCAAGAAACTCCAATGGACTTTCATATGAACATTTGAAAATTGCCCTGTTCTGACTTTTTTTCTAGTTCCCTGTCTAGAACTTGTAATGCTAATTACTCTTGCCTTTACTTCTCCTTCACATCTCCTATACATGAATTCAAGGACTTGTCTCAAAAAAACAAAAACAAAGCTGGATCTGGTGGTGTACCCTCTGCCTGAGGCTTGCAAGCCTGAGCTCTGAAAAGGAAGGGACTTGTCAGTGTGTGTGCTGCCAGGCCACTTTATTTGGGTTTAGTTGCTTTGTGTACCCTTCCTCTTGGGAGACAGTGCTTTGCATGTGATTAAGCAAACATGGCCTGGTTTCTAAAATAGAAGGTAAGCCTTTTACATTGGAGAGCTCTGAGAAGGAAGATGTAGTTCCAACTGTAGTCCCTGTGGAGCCTAACGCCTGTAATACCGATCTGGTCTTTTTTTCTTAATTAAAAAAATTTATTGCCAGGCATGGTGGTGTATGCCTTTAATCCCAGCACTCGGGAGGCAGAAGCTGGCGGATCTCTGTGAGTTCCAGGCCAGCCTGGTTTACATAGTGAGTTCCAGGCCAGCTAAAGTTTTTGTAAAAAATTTCTTTTAAAAAAGACCAAAAAAAAAAAAAAGAAAGAAAGAAAAAGATCTTAACTCTTCCAGAACAAAGAAAATTACAGTATTATAAAAGGTTAATAAAGACCTCATGTTTCAGATCACCCAAAGGAAGCACACCAACTGGTTATAAATAAAACACTCTGAAAACCCAGTACTGGTCTAGCTCTTTGTATCTTAATACAAGCTGACAGCAGAAAATAATAGGTGATTATATGCTACCAGATAGACAGATCTCATGTTTCCTGGTTTAGTATACACAAGTCACAAAATGACTGAATTCATGAAATGATCAAAAGTTTCACCATCAAAGACAGTGTTCAAAATGAGATTTGAGCTCAGACATCAGAATTAGTAATATTATAGTCAAAAGGTCAAAAACAGGCACTACTGGGGCTTAGTAAGTTTATCAAAAGTGAGCCATTAATGTGAAATCTGAGTGTATTAATAGCAATCTCCAAATTTCCATGATAGGAATTGAAGTATTTTGGTAATCCACGAAGTTCCACCTTTCACAGACAGCAACTTGAGTTTTAATATGTGTTTTAGACATTCTTTGACAGAAAATAAAAACTCAAGACACTCAATAAGTAAAAAATCTCTGAAGGCTCCAAAGAAAACCCAAATTGCAGGTAGCAGAACCCAAAGAGGAAAACTTAGAAAGGAGCATGAACAAGTATGTTCCCAAGATCACCCCATGGGTGCTCCAAGCGTGCTTAAGAAGCTAAGCAGCATGGTACTTTCCAGACAGATCTTCCTGGAAGGAAATTTAAAATCTGGAATACTGGGGGTAGGGGAAGGGAGGCAGATGTAGAGATGGGAGAGGGGCAGGGAGATGGTAGAGAGGACAGGACAAGTCAGGGTAGGTGATCAATCAAAACTCAGTATGGATGAAAATGCCATAAGGAAACCTGTTACTTAGAACACTAATTAAAATTAATTTTTTTAAAAAACTGATTGATTTATGATTCTGCGCTCTCTCTTCGTATCAGCTGTGTCAAGATACCAACACTTTCCATTAACAAAGCTTCATCCTCCCCCAAACCAGAGGAGCAACAAACTTACAGTCTCCAAACATCGTTCTCAGAATAGACTCCAGTGATGACATATCCTTTCAGAGAGTTTCCTGCTTCCACAAAGTCTTCTTTTGCTATAGATACACAGACAAAGACAGAGCTGAGAAACCTTTGATGTTACGAGTGCTACTCCACTGCTGAGCAGACATGGACGGCAGTGCCTCACTATTATTAAATTATAGAGATAAAATATGTCAGTGCAGATAGTTTACAAAACTAAACAGCTCTAAACTAAAGCTATTCTTATATTGTGTAAGAGATGCAAATTGATGTGACAGATTCTAGGTTCCTAAACAAATGTACTCCGAATGTCTTCTAAGATTTGTAGTACTCTTAATCATAAAAAATAACCAAGACAAGGAAAATGGAGACAGCTGTCTATATGCAGCCCAGAAAGAGGAACAGGTTGCGACATGGCTACATCTTAAAACTAGAAAACATCAAAATACTCACCCATGTGCAAAAAATAGAACACTAGAAATTCTAGGGCTCGAGCCCTGTGCAAGGGTTGTACAACTATGAGGGTTTTATGTCTTATTTGTGAATTTTCTATAATATATTTTTGTTACTGTTGAATTTTGACTTTGTGTATCAGTCTTCTTCCAAATAGGCAAATTTCAAAAATAACTATTATCTCTATAGATTTCTGAACACATTTTCACAAATTAATAACATATTCTACATCATATTAACAATTATCTTATAACCAAGAAGTAAGTTTGAGTTTAGGAACTGCTCTTAAGCACTGAGCCATCTCTACAGCCCCCAGGTACAGTTTCTTGTACTGATCCCCTATATTAAATTCCTCCTATAATTTACCATTAGAAAACATTTTCTTCATGGATGAATCAGTACCCTAACTTGTATGTTGCAACTTATTATATAACAATGATGGCAACGTGACACCTTTCTGTTTCTAGTTACCATCCCAATAATCAGGGGCTGTTTTGTGAGCAACTGCAGTGTTCTCTGGGCTTACCACATAAATATCCCCTACTATTTTATTATGTAAACTCTTTATCCCTGTTTTAATGGCTTTGTGCTTTTTATTGTCTAAAGACTCAAATTCTTCTGGAAATAGTCCTAGTACGGACAGAAGTGAAAACTTCAGAGCACCTGAAGTACAGAGACAAAGTCAACGGCAGACACAAAACACTGAAAAGAGAAAGAAAAACACAAATCTGTTCCCTTCTTAATTTTGTATAAAAATGATACACAAGAAAAAGCTGAACCTTCTAGATTCTGTCCTCTAAGATGGTAGGCCACTTGTTCACGTTTGTACTATTTATTTTAAGTAAATTCATTTAGCTGTTAACTCATTTAGCTGAAAACAGCATGAAGATATGACCAATAACACATGTGAATAGACTTAAAACAATAAAGATGATAAATTTTATGTATATTTTAATACAATTTTCAAAATTATTTTTATGGGGTTGAAGAGATGGCTCAGTGGTTAAGAGCACTGGCTTCATTTGCAGAGGACCTGGGTTTGGTTCCCGGCACCCACATGACAGCTAACAACTGTCTGTAACTCCAGTTCCAGGAGATCCGACGCCCTCTTCTGGCCTCCATGGGCATTGTATGACATAAGTGCATCTGTATAAAACCAGGCAAAACACACAAATTTTTTAACATATATTTTAAAGATATTTTATTATTTTCTTTATGTGTATGAGTATATTGCCTGCATGTAAGTGCACCCATGTAATGCAATGCCCACATAACACAATTTACAGAAGATCAGATAAAGTTACTCTACTGGGAATCTATTCCCATTAACTAGTCCAAAACCTACACAAAGAATCAAGAGTTTTCTTCATATACAGAAGGAAAAAAACATAAATATTATTTGTAGACAATTTATTGTGGTATTTATAGATATAAATATTCAAACTATTAACCCATACATTTATGAACAATACTAGTCATGTGGGGAAATGTACAAATATAACATTAAACAAAAATAACAAGATATTAACCTGGCCACACTGCTGTAGCCCAAATGCATTAAAACATAGATATAAATATGCAATATACAGATATGTAGAAAAGAGATGGAGAGAATGACATCAAATTTAACAGCATTCCTCTGACATTACATGTAATTGACTGGATTAAAAAAATACTGTAGGGCACTAATGGGCACAATTCTGGAGAAATCAGTGAGGTTGTTTCCATGACCCCCTATTTCTAGGTCCTGGACTGGATTAAAAGGAAAAAGGAGGAAGCCAGCTGAGCATCAACGTTCCTGTTTCCTGGCCTGCCAATATGTAAGCAAGTCATCTCCCACTCCTGCTGCCACGTCCACCCTGCCACGATGGACTGTACCCTCTGTGAGCAGAACTAAGCCCTTAAGTTGCTTAGATATTTGGTCACAGAAACAAGAAAAAATAATATAATTCTGTGCATAATTATGATATAAGCTTTTCTTCAAATTTTTCTCTATATTTAAACTTGACTATAAGAAGATAGTCTTTTAAACAACTAGAAAACAATGAGTGTTTTAATTATGTAATCTAAAAGCTCAACCTAGGTTCAATGGGTTAAGTATTCAACCCACAGATACCACATTAAAAAGAAAAAAAAAAGCCTGGTGTGGTGGCGCATGCCTTTAATCCCAACACTTCGGAGGCAGAGGCAGGTGGATCTTTGTGAGTTTGAGGCCAGCCTGGTCTACACAGTGAGTTCCAGGACAGCTGGGGCTACAAGGAGACCCTGTCTCAAAAAAGACACCCCCCCCCCATAAAAAGTCTGGCCATAGCACCACACATCTGTAATCCTACCATTGTGTCACTGGGAGAAAGAGGCAGGAGGATCCCAGGGGCTTGTTGGCCAGCCAATGTAGCCAGTCAGCAGCAAGTTCACTGAGAGAGTCTGTTTCAAAGAATAAGGTGAAGAGCCATAGAAGAAGACACCACCCAGCATTGACTTGTCTACACATACGTACTCACTCTCACTCTCTCTCTTAATCTCGCTCTCACTCTGTAAAATAAAATGGCATGAAATAAACAAATACAAGTTCAACTCTACTTACCTGTTGTCATGGATGGACTAAATAATCCCAGTACTGACACACTAGCATAGGTAAATAGGTCTTTATATAATTCTCCACTTAAATATTTTTCTGCTTCTTGGATTGATGCTATGTTCACTGGCCATGAAATCCTATTGCTGGAGGAATAAATAATTATATTCAAAATTATTTTTTAGAGATATTTTGCAGTTTGTAGAAAAAAACATACTGAACCTAGGAAATGATGTTATTACACAGAATATTTGACAAAATAAATAACTATTCTTTAAAAAAAACTCAGTCTTGGCCCAACAAACTATCTCGATTGGTATAGTAGTGTACTTTTATCTTGGGTATAATTAACAGCTGTCTAATTGGACATAAAGCCTGCTTGATGGGAGAAAAATCATGCATGGTAAACATAGCCAAGTACACATGGCTAGAATAGGTCAGAGACCCTAGAAGAAAATGTATTTCCTATCATTTCCCTAGACCAATGTAATTTCTTACTGTGTTTTTTTAAATGTGTATGAGTGTTTTGCTTGCACATAAGTGCACTCATGCGTGCAACACCTGCAGAGGCCAGAAGGAAGCACTGGATCCCCTGGAACCTAGAGTTCAGATAGTTGCTAGCCACCATGTGGGTGCCAGCAACCGAATCCAGGTCCTCTGCCAAGAGCAACCTGTGTTTTTAATGCTGAACCATCTCTCCAGTTCTCTTACTATATTTTAAATACATAGCCTTATATTTACAGACTAGTGTACATCTTACCACTCATCAAGGAAGCTTCTTTTTGCAACAGATAGAAACTATTACAACGTTCTACCACTGGTGAAATGCAGAGAATGAGTGACTGTGAGGTGCCCAATCCTAAGTGACACGTCTACCATGCAACCTCTACACCAAAGGTACAGGGAGCATCTCGAAAGGGGAGCAAAAAAGATTTTAAGAGCCAGAGGGACAAGACACCCAATGCTAGTTAATGCGCTAGACATGACAGGGAAGCTGCACCATGAGATCTGCATGGTGTGGTAGTCTAATGAGATCTGAATGACAAAACCAGTGTCATGCCAAGGTGGATGGGAGGAATGTCTCCAGGTCCCACTTCAAGATGAAGAGCTACAAGCAATCATTGGATGCTAAGGGAGGGAGAATCAGTTTTCTCCAGGGACGAGCTCCTTGAGAGTTACCTTATACCAAATGGACAGCCCTAAACATAGGTACACATAAAAGCACCACTAAGTGGATTCAGTGGAATATGTTGTGTGTGTGGGGGGGTGTGCAGGTATATATGTATGTATATAATATATATGTAACAGTAACAATCAAACAAGAGGACGAAAATTTGAGGAGGAGTTGGGGGATACGGGAGGAGTTGGAGGGGGACTGGGAGGGATGAAAATAATACAAAGACAATAATCATGTATGAAATTCCCAAAAAGTGAAAAATAAAATTTTAACTTTTCTATACACAAAATAGTAGAAATAAAATGTAAGAGCTTTTTAAAAAAGGTCTCACTAAACCAAAGTGATAGAACAGTGCACAAACCCTCATTATCAATATTTCCTCTATGATCTCAATTCTAGAATTCTCTCAAATCTATTAAAAGCATGTTAACAGGCTGAGAGTTACAACTGCAGACCCCCAAACTTAGAGATCGCAGAATGAAGCTAAATACTTACAGCTGGATGAACTTCAGGAGCTCTTTAGTTCCCAACATGCCAGCATATGACACTGGGCTCTCGCCTGCCTTATACATCTTTACAGCAGGAAGTGCAGTAACATTTTGCTTAGTACAGACGTCAGACCAATCTGCACAGTTTATTCTAGTGAGAAGTAGAGTGGACATGCCTAAATTAAAGGAAAACACCCATTTTACAAATACTAATGTAGAATGTTCCAATCCCACCCCGCATGACATGCCCCTGCTGAAACTCTTCCTCTGATCTCTGTAGCACCTTCCCCTACTGGCTTTCTCTCCCTGCCTCCTGAGACTTCTATTACTGGAGGTCAGAGCTCCTTAAGTCTCAGTCTAAACTGCCTTTGCTTCTTGCTTTACACTAGTTCTCAATCCTAACACCTAACGATCTAATAAAACCTACACTTGTGTCTTTGGTCTCACCTCCTCCTTGAAGTTCCAAACCCGGGTATCCTTGCTGGCTTCTCTGAAACTACCTGACCAAAGCCGAATATTGTTTCCCTCCTGTGCACTGTAAAGGGTGCACACTTGTGCAGCTCAGGAAACAATGCGCCATCCTGCCTCCCTCTTAAGTCCCCCATGCCTAGTCAATCAGTATCTTTTTAACTTTACCACTCAAAGCTTAAGTGGGTCCTATCATTTTCCACTCCTCTGTACTGCTAGCATTTACCATTTCTTCTGGGTAACTACAGCAGGCTTCTCACCTCCCTTACTCAATGTCTCTACAGTAGTGGTAGATATCTTCTTCAAACTCAGATCTGTTCTGGCACCATGCTATTCTCCACCCAACCCCAGAACTGTTTTGCAACCAGCCCATCCCTAGTAAGCGTTGTAGGGGTTGGTGAGTCTCACTGCTTCCAGGAAGCCTTCCCTGGCACCTTAATTTACACCAGGTTCCTTTGCTACCTGTTCTGACAGAACTGCACTCCTTTCTCCTTTCCTTAGCTCCTTTTGTAACTCTGTGCTCATCTGCATTACCTGATTAATGTCTCTAGAAGAGAGTGCCTTGAGAGAAGGGACTGTACATTATCCACTACTGACATGAGTATCGACAGCACTCCTTGCTCAAAGCACCTATCTGGGCTTAGCTATCCAAAATCTCTTTTCAATCTGGGAAGATGCACAGAATATAAAGTATAAATTCTTACTTATTGTATAATTAAAGTAAAATTCTCTGAATAAGTAAATTATTAGAAGAAAAAGAGATTAAACAAAAACTAAAACAAGTACCACATAATCCAGCTGCAGAAAGGCAGTGACAAATTCTAATAAAATGAGCTTTACTATATTAGATTAAGAAATGTCCCTATCTGCTGGGAGGTGGCGAGAGTCAGTCTCTTTCAAAGATGTGACTCTTGGCAAGTTAACTAGGCTCCAGTGGATGAGCTTTTGGGGGAAACAAAAAGGACATTTCGGGAAACAAATTTAGACTCTATAGGCAATACATACACACACACACACACACACACACACACACACAGAGTAGAGTACATTAAATGGGGCAGGGCAGTAAAGGGAGGTACAGATAGGGAAGGGGCTCTAAATATAAAATTGTATTGTATGAAACTCACAAAAATTCAATTAAAAAAAGAAATATCCATATCAATTTAGGATAGTAAAACAAAACCACAATTCAAATTGTGAAATGTATTATTTTAGTATTTTGTCATTAAAAGTATTTAATAATGGAAATCACCTTCAAACTTTAAAATATTCTAGCTCACAGAGGTAATAATATCACTTCAGATTTAGTGTTGCCAGTGCTTGGTACACAAACAGTGTGAATCTTCACTCTACCTTGAGAACTTAGCACAATGTTACAGTAGAGGCCCCATAAAAATGCGGGAATGTACACTGCCATTCCTTTATAAAGTAAAAATGGTTAAGTTGAAGTTTATTAATACTTGAACATCCAATGAACTAATAAAAACAGGTGAGCCCTCATTCCTTCTAAAATCAAACCTGCTAAAGTCACTCCTCTGCAAAGTCCTCTGTAATCATGTCATAAGAATTTAGTGACCCTTGTTCATTCATCTAGAATGTTATTTTACACCTAAATACAGTGAATATTGTATTACAGACAGTTCTTTTCCCAAGGTAATCATCCTCAACATGCCAATCCCTCCAAAAAATATTCTTTTGTCCTTACAAAGTTGAAAACTTGGATCTTTAGCTTTCTGAGGAAGAACACTGACACATTATAAAGGTTATAAGGCTGCTGATACTGAAGGAAGTGATGTAAAAGTTTTTCTTTTCTAGAAAGTAGTTTCAACATTCCTGTTTCAATTTGAATAGTTTATATGATGAAATGCTTCTAGTACTACATCCCATAAATTTTGCCAGTTTTGTCTTCAAACAGAATTTCCAATTTGGGGTGTGGGGGGATCTATTTTCTTTGACTTGGATACTATCAAGTATAAAAGTTTGACATTTGCTGCCACCTTGTGGCTGAGGAAAAAATATTCATTGTCTTGGAGCCCCAGCCCCCCCCCAAACCCAAACTTTTTCTCAAGATGTCAACATTAAAGACAACAATGTAGGGTAAATTATTGTCCAAAGTACTACAATATTTTCCTAACTTAATTTGGGATGTGCATCGCTGGGCAGGGCATATGTCCTACATTTTGCTTGGAAGGAGAAAAGGCCAGATGTACAATTATACAGAGATTCCTGGCTGTAGTCAGTAGTTTGGCTGGATGGTTGGGCACTTGGAAGGAGTAAGATTTGAGAAATAAGAAGTAAGAGAGAAAGACATGTGGAGAAGAGGTACGAAGATAGATATCACCAAATGGGCAAAGGATGCAAAGATACTTGTAGCCCATGTAAGTGCTTCAGCAGAGGAGTTCAGTAACCAAGTAGATGGAATGACCCGTCGTGTGGATAGTCAACCTCTTTCACTGTCATCTCCCTTTGCACCCATGAACAGTGTTCATGTTAGTAAAGGTTATGCATGGGCTTGACAACATGAGCTCACAGTCACCAAGGCTAACCTGGCCACAGCTGCTGGGTTCCAAATCTGCCGTCAACAAAGAGCAACACGAGTCCCCCATATGGCACCATTCCCTGAGGTCACCAGCCAGCAACGTGGTTTTTTGAGGGTCTCTCACTATGCAGCCCTGGCTGATCTGGAACTTTCTATGTAAACCAGACTGGCCTCGAACTCACAGAGATCCACTGGCTTCTGCCTCTCGAGTGCTGGGATTAAAGGCGTGAGCCACCATGCCTGGCTCTTTAAATCCCTTTTAATATATTAATTCTAACAGTTCTATATCTCTAGAGAATCCTAACAAGTACAACCTGAAAATCTGAATTAGATAATGTTCCAAAATCTGAATGTCTTTGAGCATTAACATAAGTACAAGTAGAACATTCCATGAGACTTACGTGAAAGATTTTGATCAGAAAAATAAGGAAAATACAGTATAAAATATCTTCATGCTTTGCATATTAGGATGTATGTAAACCACAAATGAATTTCATGTTTAGCTTTTGGTTCCAGCCCTAAGACATCTTAGTATATGTACCAAGTACTCCAAATTAAAAAACAATCCAAAACACCTCTGTACCTCAGCATTTCAGGTCTGGAATATTCAACCTGTATAGACTTCAACACAAATGCAGAACACTATACTTATACCATGTACCGCAACATTAAGCCACAAGAGCTTCCAAAACAGTCCATGTACCTGACATCTAATTACTACTTGTTATGCTTGTTTGTTTGAGGCAGGGTCTCACTATGTATCCCTCACTGACCTAGAGCTCCCTATGTACACTAGGCTGGGCTGGAACTCACAGAGATCTGCCTGCCTCTGCCTCCCAAATGCTGGGGTGCCACCATGCCCAGCTAGAACTGTTATTCATAAAGAACATAGAAAATAAAAAGAAAAGTTAAGTCCTGGGTTGGTTATCAGCTTTTTTAAAATTCTAAACCTACATACAACTCAAAACTCAACGGCAACATTCCCAGAAGAGCTAAGTTAATAAGCCTGTTTAACAGTAATCACTTTTATTTATAAGATAAACAGAACAAGAAAAATTATTGATACATTTTCTCCTATTCAAATGATTTCAAAACATTATCCATGCCTATTTTATCACTACCTCTTTTTAAAAAAATACCTTATTATTTTTATTTTATGTGTATGAGTGTACTTCCTGCATGTGAGTGCACCCGTGTCATGCATTGTAGCGGAGGTCAGAAGAGGGCTTCAGATTCCCCTGAAACTGGAGTTAACGATGGTTCATAGCCACCATGTGGATGCTGGGAATCGAACCTGGGTCCTCTGCAAGAGCAGTCAGTGCTCTTAACCGCTGAGCCATCTCTCCAGCCCCTCATCACTACCTCTTACTAACAGGCCTCCCTATTTCTCCCTGTAACCTTGCTGGAAAGATGCCATGGAAATTTTGGGTTAAAGCCTCACCTAAATTTGCTATCGCTGGATCAGGTTTCAGAGAATATTTAAATAAAAAAGATTCTCACTATCAGGAAATAGCCTAGTCCATGAGGATCTAACTTAGCTTCAAGAACACTGACTAGGGCTGGAAAGAAGGCTCAGCAGTTAAGAGCACTGGTTCTTCTTGCAGAAGACCTGTCAGTTCCTAGCACCCACATGGTGGCTCAGCCATCCATAACTCCAGTTCCAGGGGATCCAATGCCCTCTTCTGACCTTCACTGGCACTGCACATGCATGGTGCACTTACATACAAGTGGGCAAAACACCCAAAGTAGGCACTCAATAAATATGTGCTGAATGGCTTAATTTAACAGATGATTCCCCTTGTTTCTATGAAATACAGTCCTATGACGTAACCAAAGTAAATGATTATGAACTTTTCTGATACTCTTGTTTATTCATTTAACCTTGGTGATGGAATCTGAAAATTATGTCATTTTTCTACATCTTTATAGTAACAGTTTTACAAAAAGCTTTGTATTAGGATCAGAAAATTAAGTATGCATACCACAGGATAATACCTTTCAATTTAATTGCCACATCAATATAAGACTGCAGAAATGCCATGGAGACTGCATGCCCTATATTAAAATGAGAAAGTTCAACAGATGTTAGAAGATGTTATCCCCAGAGCACCTATACCTACCTCTCCCTCCCTCCCCCTCTCATATACACACACAGATTTATGAGTATTTCCAAAATTATCATTTCCAAATGAGAAATATCCTAATACAGAGGACTCAGTGTTATCCAACCACTTACAAGGATTCCAAACACAACTAATCTTTTCATTCATACTGCAAATAATATAGCTGAATGGTTATTATGGCTATTATTTGAAAATAAAAAATATTTCCTGTATGTCTATACAAATGTTGATGAATTTAAAATAACTGCCCCGAATCACACTAGTTTTCAAAATTAATTAGCTGAATTTCTAGTCTAATCATTAACCTTCCATTTGTAAATTACATATCTAGAAAATATATAATGTTTTATTTCTCAGAATAAGAAATAAATGCCTCAATGTATGCAGTCTACTTGAGACAGAAAACTATGTCACTTTACAGTGTGCAAAATATAGAGTGCAAATAAAACCATCTATTTTAAATGCTCTCATATGTAATGCAGTATCCTTTCAAGACTCATACTCACAACCAGCATAGAAGAGCACTATGCTGTCAGAAGTCATCACTGTCACATTAAATGTCTCCGCTGTCAACTCCACTGTCAGCTCCAAAGGTAAATGCCTCTTCCTATCTCTGTAAACTGTTTCTGCCACTTCATCATCTTGAATATCTAAAATGTTTTTTAAAAAGAAATTATTTTTGGGCTGGGCATGGTGGCACATATCTTTTAATTCCAGCATTCAGGAGGCATAGGCAGGTAGATCTCTGTGAGATTGAGGCCAGCCTGGTCTTTCTGGTGAGTTCCAGGACAGCTGGGGCTACAGGGAGACCCTGTCTCATAAGGACAAAAACAAACAAACAAACAAACAAACAAGTTAATTTAAATATGGATTACATAATGAAAAGTAAATTCTCACAAGATATATGAAAATTTGACACTTTATAAAAACTTTATGCTATATAAAGTTAAAATGTGTAATATTTTAAAAAAGTTCTCAGATGCCTGGACTTTTATCTTAAATGACTCTTGG